CTTTCCGTTTTGCGGCTTCCCAGAGCCGTGGCTAAACGTGGAGAAGAAGCGCGTGCCAGGTTTTGAGATCTTCTTCGACCAGCAACTACCCGGGGATGACGTTACCGAAGAGCAGACAGACCCATCAGGTGAAGTTGAACAGAGTAAGAAAGTGCAGTCTGAGGACACCGAACTTGAAATGGGGGTAGCACTGGCGAGTCTACTCTCAGATCCTCCGATCGACCATAAGTGCTTGGGGGATAACTTCTCGGTATGTGTGTTCAGAGATGAAACGGCTGCGGGCCTACCAGCAACTATTTTGGATGCATCTATCGCACCCTCTCTCACTTGGCAATATGAAGAGGGATTCTTGTCCAGCAGCACCGGGTCAGGTAGTGAGCCGAAATCTGATTCCACCGAGTCCTGTTAGTCGGAATCAGGTTCCAGCTCGACTGAGTCTAAGTCTGGTAATCCTGGGGATGATAACCCGGATGCCACAGTTATGTCCAGGTCGTCTTTTTCTTTCTCGTTTGAGTCTGTTGTAACCAAGATTTCGGACGATTTGGGTGAGCTTAATGAGAATCAAGTAACTGTGGTTTCTGAGTACTTTTCTGTGCCCTTAATTTATTGCATCAACTCAGACTTTCAAAATTTTGATGAAAACGACGAGGAAGAAATTCCTCCGGTTTTGCAACGTTTAATTGAGCAGGAGCAGGAGCAGGAGAGATTTGTCAAACCCTTAACGGATGAAATCATTACCGTGAATATTGGTACTGAGGAGGACCCGCGGCTGGTCCAGATCGGGTCCACGTTGTCTTCGGAGGAACGCGAGCGCTTAGTCGCTTTATTAAAAGATTTCAAAGATGTTTTCGCGTGGTCCTACGAAGACATGCCTGGGATCGATCCTGAGATTATACAGCACCGGATCCCCCTTGACCCCGAGGCCCGACCTGTCAAACAGAAACTCAAAAGGATCTGCCCGGACTGGGCTCTCAAGATTAAGGAAGAGGTCACCAAGCAAATCAATGTATGCTTCCTGCTGGTTTCTGAATACCCGACTTGGTTGGCCAACATCGTTCCAGTGCCGAAGAAGGATGGCAAGATCCGGGTGTGCGTGGATTTCAGGGATTTAAACAGAGCTAGTCCGAAGGACAACTTTCCCTTACCGCATATCGACGAGTTGGTGGATTTCACAGCAGGGCATGCTTTGCTCTCATTCATAACAAGAACTCAACTTAACTCGACTTCCATTGATTCATAATCCAACTAATCCTCATTTCTCACCAAATCACTCTAAACATGGTATTTCTAGCAAACAAGAACTCAACTTAACTCGACTTCCATTGATTCATAATCCAACTAATCCTCATTTCTCACCAAATCACTCTAAACATGGTATTTCTAGCAAACAAGAACTCAACTTAACTCGACTTCCATTGATTCATAATCCAACTAATCCTCATTTCTCACCAAATCACTCTAAACATGGTATTTCTAGCAAACAAGAACTCAACTTAACTCGACTTCCATTGATTCATAATCCAACTAATCCTCATTTCTCACCAAATCACTCTAAACATGGTATTTCTAGCAAACAAGAACTCAACTTAACTCGACTTCCATTGATTCATAATCCAACTAATCCTCATTTCTCACCAAATCACTCTAAACATGGTATTTCTAGCAAACAAGAACTCAACTTAACTCGACTTCCATTGATTCATAATCCAACTAATCCTCATTTCTCACCAAATCACTCTAAACATGGTATTTCTAGCAAACAAGAACTCAACTTAACTCGACTTCCATTGATTCATAATCCAACTAATCCTCATTTCTCACCAAATCACTCTAAACATGGTATTTCTAGCAAACAAGAACTCAACTTAACTCGACTTCCATTGATTCATAATCCAACTAATCCTCATTTCTCACCAAATCACTCTAAACATGGTATTTCTAGCAAACAAGAACTCAACTTAACTCGACTTCCATTGATTCATAATCCAACTAATCCTCATTTCTCACCAAATCACTCTAAACATGGTATTTCTAGCAAACAAGAACTCAACTTAACTCGACTTCCATTGATTCATAATCCAACTAATCCTCATTTCTCACCAAATCACTCTAAACATGGTATTTCTAGCAAACAAGAACTCAACTTAACTCGACTTCCATTGATTCATAATCCAACTAATCCTCATTTCTCACCAAATCACTCTAAACATGGTATTTCTAGCAAACAAGAACTCAACTTAACTCGACTTCCATTGATTCATAATCCAACTAATCCTCATTTCTCACCAAATCACTCTAAACATGGTATTTCTAGCAAACAAGAACTCAACTTAACTCGACTTCCATTGATTCATAATCCAACTAATCCTCATTTCTCACCAAATCACTCTAAACATGGTATTTCTAGCAAACAAGAACTCAACTTAACTCGACTTCCATTGATTCATAATCCAACTAATCCTCATTTCTCACCAAATCACTCTAAACATGGTATTTCTAGCAAACAAGAACTCAACTTAACTCGACTTCCATTGATTCATAATCCAACTAATCCTCATTTCTCACCAAATCACTCTAAACATGGTATTTCTAGCAAACAAGAACTCAACTTAACTCGACTTCCATTGATTCATAATCCAACTAATCCTCATTTCTCACCAAATCACTCTAAACATGGTATTTCTAGCAAACAAGAACTCAACTTAACTCGACTTCCATTGATTCATAATCCAACTAATCCTCATTTCTCACCAAATCACTCTAAACATGGTATTTCTAGCAAACAAGAACTCAACTTAACTCGACTTCCATTGATTCATAATCCAACTAATCCTCATTTCTCACCAAATCACTCTAAACATGGTATTTCTAGCAAACAAGAACTCAACTTAACTCGACTTCCATTGATTCATAATCCAACTAATCCTCATTTCTCACCAAATCACTCTAAACATGGTATTTCTAGCAAACAAGAACTCAACTTAACTCGACTTCCATTGATTCATAATCCAACTAATCCTCATTTCTCACCAAATCACTCTAAACATGGTATTTCTAGCAAACAAGAACTCAACTTAACTCGACTTCCATTGATTCATAATCCAACTAATCCTCATTTCTCACCAAATCACTCTAAACATGGTATTTCTAGCAAACAAGAACTCAACTTAACTCGACTTCCATTGATTCATAATCCAACTAATCCTCATTTCTCACCAAATCACTCTAAACATGGTATTTCTAGCAAACAAGAACTCAACTTAACTCGACTTCCATTGATTCATAATCCAACTAATCCTCATTTCTCACCAAATCACTCTAAACATGGTATTTCTAGCAAACAAGAACTCAACTTAACTCGACTTCCATTGATTCATAATCCAACTAATCCTCATTTCTCACCAAATCACTCTAAACATGGTATTTCTAGCAAACAAGAACTCAACTTAACTCGACTTCCATTGATTCATAATCCAACTAATCCTCATTTCTCACCAAATCACTCTAAACATGGTATTTCTAGCAAACAAGAACTCAACTTAACTCGACTTCCATTGATTCATAATCCAACTAATCCTCATTTCTCACCAAATCACTCTAAACATGGTATTTCTAGCAAACAAGAACTCAACTTAACTCGACTTCCATTGATTCATAATCCAACTAATCCTCATTTCTCACCAAATCACTCTAAACATGGTATTTCTAGCAAACAAGAACTCAACTTAACTCGACTTCCATTGATTCATAATCCAACTAATCCTCATTTCTCACCAAATCACTCTAAACATGGTATTTCTAGCAAACAAGAACTCAACTTAACTCGACTTCCATTGATTCATAATCCAACTAATCCTCATTTCTCACCAAATCACTCTAAACATGGTATTTCTAGCAAACAAGAACTCAACTTAACTCGACTTCCATTGATTCATAATCCAACTAATCCTCATTTCTCACCAAATCACTCTAAACATGGTATTTCTAGCAAACAAGAACTCAACTTAACTCGACTTCCATTGATTCATAATCCAACTAATCCTCATTTCTCACCAAATCACTCTAAACATGGTATTTCTAGCAAACAAGAACTCAACTTAACTCGACTTCCATTGATTCATAATCCAACTAATTTGAAATTAAAAAATAAATAAATAAAAGAAAAAAGAACTGCATAATTGGTTCACTATCCAATTATGAAATAACAAAAGGTTACTGAATTTGGATTTATCAATATTACCCTCACTCTTTATATGAAGACTGGTTTTCCTGTAGCCTATGGAGCATGATTGAACAGTATATATAAACACATTAGTAAATCATAGCCTTGAAAAGATTTTATCAAAAAATTATTACAGCAACACATCAACAGAGAGAGTAAACTAAACTAAATCCCAACAAGAATTAAAGCTCAGATCAAGGTAGAGAAAGAAAAACAATTAATATACCAAGTCAAGATGGGTCAACTCCAAAAGAGCAAACAAATGAACAATCCCCCACAGTTCCAATATTTGAGTGTTAACCTGGTATCTTTAATTACTTGGTTATGTAATCCAACTTCAATGTATAGTACTTAACCTAGTATCTTTAATTACTGTCAGTCACTCTTAGGTCTCATAAAGCCATAACAACTTTCTGGTATTAATTTATGAAGAGGAAATGGAGAAAGAAAAAAATACTACACACAAAAGGAAGAAGAACAAGAAAAAACATTTACTTTTTCTGATAAGTAAAAGAAAGAAACATTTACATTCTTTCACATTGAATGGAAAATGCAGAAACCATCACTAACCTCCAAGATTAGCAATGAGCAATGGTAAGCAGTCAACAAAGCTTTAGTTTCTTCTGGCTTTCCTGCCGCTATGTTTGTAAGACAACAAGCTGCTTCAAGCAACTGCAGTACGACAAACAAGAGAGCAAAAGAGAGAGGTAACTTTTTTCGGTGCAAGCAAGCCTCATCAATCTGTAAATGATGGGGCTTGCTTGCATCAGTGCAAGAAGCTTCTTCTTTTTCTTTTTTTTTTTTGAGGACTGGAAGGTTAAACTTATTTCCTAAGACTTCAATATTGTGGAGAATTAGGATTATGTTGTTTTATCAAGGGTTTATAGCTTTTTATGTTTACTCATATGTGTCACAAATGCTTATGCTCTGCCCCCTTTGTTTTTTTCTAATAACTTTACTGATCACAAAAATTATGGATAAAATAAAATAAAAGAGTATCAGAAAATTTTATCTGGATACAAAAAGATAAATTCAGAAAGTTCTATACCAGTGCTGCTTACTGGCTTACTCGAACCTATCACTTCTAAGGGCATGGAAAACTTGCATCGCCATAGATGCTGGGAACCCCCATCACCTACAGACTGACAGATTCATGTATTCATGTTTTTGGGCATTCATTTTTCCGGGGTGTACAGAAGGTTAAACTCTCCAGACGGTTAAACTCTCCAAACCTTGTTAGTGGCAAGGGCCTCAGCACTAGGTGAACTTTTGCCTCCACAATCTACAACCAAAAAGAGCTTCACAAGAACTTGAATATTATAAAACAGAACAATAAATCTAGCAATACGATATATTATGATATAGAATTTCGACTTATTTATCACAATTCTATTCTATATTATTCACAATTCTAATTGGTTAGTAAACTCAAATACCTTGCCAACTCTGAAATATGATGCATGGTCCAGAGTGTTATCCCATGACACTTGTGTTGAGTGAATTAGTGTAGTTACTCCTTCTACCTACATTTGCGTATTTAGGTCAAATATTGAATCACAATAATCTGTTGATAGAGAGATAATCTCATAGTCTTGGCCCCATAACAAAGAGATATGGATCCATAAATAGAAAGATCGTAACAGTCAAATGATTAGTACATCACTTCAAGAACCCCAATCAATTCCTAAATATTTCGGGGTTCACACCTCATTTTGTGAAGCTGAGACCATGAAATCACAAGACTTCACTGGAAAGCATGTTTTTGAAATAACTTTTTGAATTTTGTAGAGATGGGTTATTGTTCTTAGGTGATTATCAAAATAGCCTTGATCTTACTTTTTCATATTTTAGCAGAAATGGTTTTTATTTTTTATTTTTGTTTTTGTTTTGGGGACCATATGAAGCGAAATAACTGAAGACACTTTAGAAGAGAAAATCACAAAGAAAGGACATTTTAGGGAAATAAAGTTACTTGCAAGTTTCTATTACTTGGATTCACATCCTTCAAAATTGAGATCCAATCCAGATCTCCATTTTCTGGTGGAAAATCAATGTCACCAATTTAAGTGATCAATCCTAGTCACATTACAAAGTCCTTATATTTAACAAGAAACAGTTAAAAAAAAGGTTCTTAAAACTCATAATTAATATGTCAGTTTATCCATTGAACTAGAGAAAGAAGATATAAAAACCTTCTCAATGGAAATATTTTCCACCCAATTTCAAACCATGTTATGTATAGTGTTAAATTTTTTAGTAATTGAAAATCTATTAGCTTTTCAATATGTTTTTTTAAAAAAAAAAAATTGCAGAGAAGGCATTCGAAAAGCCTCAATTCATGTCCAAACCGGAACCAATGGCAAATCCTGCATGAAAAATGCTCACAGCCCCTCATAAGAACAATGCCTCTCTGCAATTCTCAGCCTCTTTGCATAATCTTAGGACAATAAGTCAGTATTAATATGTCATAATCTTTAACACGCCGCGAATTTTTGAAGTTACATGTACACTATATATTATATATATCAGATAAAAATAAAAACAAGGATATGAAATCTCATTCTTAAAATGAAAATCAAACACCTTTTCATTACAGCATCAAAGTAGTTCGAGCGCTAAAACATCTCAAACTCCATATGCTCTCCTGCTGTACTTTTAAACTCTTCCTGACACCAATCGCTTTCCTTATTCTACGATGCTGACATGCTATTTAGGAAGGTGAGATTCCATATTGATATTTCAATGCAAACAACACTCTTCCATGTAAAATCTTTAATTGCTTAGATAAAACTATTATAACTCTTGTTAATATTTTCCAATATATTCTCATTGCTAGCTGCATAATTCTTTCTTCCATTCTTCACAAACAAACTTTAATCATTGCCCCATAACAAAACTATGCCATTAAGGCCTTGCCGTGATGGTATTTAAAGCAAAAGTAAGAGCAAGCCAGAAGCATCTATAAGTTTAAACTGTACAGAATTTCTCACCATGACACTTTTCTTTTCCAATGACAATTCAGTTCATCTCACAAAAATCTAACATTTCAACCTCTCATTCTGCAATTTTTTTTTTCTTTCTTTCTGGAAATGAACTCGAGATTACAAATAATAATAATAACAATGCAGAGGAGAACACACTCGCGTGTGCTCACATAGAGACAGAGACAGAACAATCAAAACTCAACCTGTAGTTCTGTGGTGAAATTTCGATCAAGCAATTAGAGCACATCATGATAAAATTTTAGAGAGAGCGACAGATACCTTTAATCGTTTATGAAGACGAGAGAGAGAGAGAGAGAGAGAGAGAGAGAGAGAGAGAGAGAAGCTGAAGGTCCTTGAGGATCTCCAAATGCAAGCGATCGAGATGGCGCTTGGCGGAGCCCAAGAGCGAAGAGGCCAATTCCTTCAGTTCCAAGATCGAACTTAGTGTTTTCTGACGAAGAGATATAGATGATGCTACAACATTCTTGCTCTTGTTGCCATTGGTGTTGTTCCTTGGGGATAGAGTCAGTGTTGAAAAGGCTGTTATACCACATAATCAACACAAACATTACACCGATAAATAAGCATTTTTGAAGAACAAATGCGAACAACAGATTGAAAACCAAATCAATGAGATTGAAATCGATTAATCGATCAAGCCTGGATACGGAAATCGCTATTGAGAGAGACGATATGAGACTCCTTGGGGACGAAATCAACAAAGCACCGATTAGAAGTGCAGATCAAGAGTCTCTGAGATCAGATCAGGGATCGAAATCAACAAACCCCCAATTCTATGGAGAAGGAAATTAGGGATTCGATCGATCGAGAGAGTGAGAGAGAGAGAGCCTTTGAATGAAACCTCCCGACTATTGAAGTTCAAAGAACGCAAATAGAATAAAATAATGTATTAGTTGTGTTTATTGGGACCAATTAAAATGGTAGATAAAAAGTCACTAATTATTTTACAATGAAATAGATTTGTCTCAAAAATGTAATAGTATGATTAAATTTTTTTTTTTTCAAAATTCTTTTATTTTGCTTTTAAAAGTATAATTTTTGCAGATAAATTATTTTTATTCTTAAAAATTTGTCTCTAAAATTTTAATTTCTTGTAGTATTTGTTGAGAATAGAAAAAGTTGTACTTTGTCATTCATTGGTGTAGAATAGAGACGCAAATTTAAAAATTGTATATTTTATATAAAAATTAAATTAGAATATTTTATATAATTACACCTATTTAGGGAGTATATATATATAATTACACTTATTTAAAAAGTGTAATTAAAAAGTAGTAATGTATATATAATCACACTTTAATTAGAAAGTGTGATTAAAAAATATATAAATAATTACACTTTAATTAAAATGTGTGATTAAAAAATATGTATATAATCATACTCATTTAAAAAGTGTGATTAAAAAGTAGTAGTGTATATATTATCACACTTGATAGGGTAATTTATATATAAATTGGGTCGAGCTAGGTAATGGGCCATTCATTGGGCCACGGTAAGAAGGGCTGGATAAAACGAAGCTTGGAGTTAGCCCGGTCCGGAGAACGACTTATTATTATCCCGGTCCAAACATCCTGGGAAATGAGCATATCAGCAATCCGCATATCAATTGGGGGTGCTGAAGGAGGGTCCTGAGAAGTATACCCCCAGACCTGACACAAGAAGCGGTCTCCCAAAAACCAGGCCCGGCCAATTGGCCCTTCGAACAGAATCCTGTACCGGGAGGCACCCCACCCTCCGGCAAACTGGAATCGGAGACCCTCACCTAAAGGCGTCCATGGCTGCCATGTAATCTGCGGATAACAGACGCATAAACCAAGCAGAAATAAAAAATGTACAGGACAAATCAAAGATGAAAGCAGAAAGAACTGAGAGTTCTGAAATACCTCCGTCGACCGCACCGTGTCAAAATACAGCTGCAGAAAAAGGAGAGACTCCCGAGGTCTTGGCCGGTGCTGGCCTTCAAATACCAGTGAGTATGGGGTCACGAGGGGTGCCACTACCACCAACTCCGGGGCCAATGTCGGGAAATATACATAGACCCACAACTGTGGAAAACAAAGCAGGATACGAAGTGCTGAGGGCAAAGTGCATGATACAGAATATAAAGTGCGTCGTGTGTGCAATGTGCAAGTAATGAGGAGCAGAAATGTAAATCAAGAGGGCAGAAAGTACCTCCCAGGCTCTCCAATAGCCGCCAAGTAAGTCCCCCCGTCCGCGGGAGGTCGCGCTCATATAGCAATAAAGGGTAGCCAAGCCGGCGCCACCCCAGTCGTATCGTCTGACCTGTGATAGGTCCACCAAAGCACTCAGCAGATAGAGCCCTACAGTGTTCCCCCTGTCGGCAAACAAAGTGGTCCGGAAGAGGAACATCAGGAAGCCGCGGGCATACTGTGTCGCCTCATCAGGAGTCCCGGGCTCCATCTCCTCCCGCCGGAAATGGGAAGAGAACCAGGTGTATCGGACTCTCCCCGAAGCTCTATCAACAGATGGGCGAGCCCCCAGCAAATATATCCAGGCAGCCTCCCACTGACCCATGTCCTCATTGTAAGGGATAGGCCAACCTCCCATGTCAAGGCCAGTTAGTACGGCAAAGTCAAAGGGGGTCATAGTCAAGTCCCCCGTAGCAGAAAAATGGAAGGAGTTGGTGGTGTCCCACCATCTCTCCACCAAGGCAGCCATCAGCGTCCTCCTAGCAGGGCAACGGGATAGCCCAGTACAGAAGGGCCCAAACCTCGTCAAGTCAACCAAGTCCCGAATAGCCTTCGGGAGCTCGGCATACCAGTCTCTCGCCGCAGTAGAGCCATACCCCCGCACATTGCGAGAAGTCACCTGCATTCGGAATGAATAGGTGTTTCAGCATAAAATGAATAAGCTGCATGCAAATGAAATGAATAAGCTGCGTGCAAATAAAATGAATAGGCTGCGCGCAAAGTAAAGTAAGTGGGCTGTGTGCTTCGAAATTCAATTTGGGCTGTGTGCTCTGAAAATCAGTGTTTGGGCTGCGTGTTCAACTCTCAATCAGTGTGGGCTACATGTTCACCTTCAATTTGGGCTGTGTGCACTGAAAATCAGTATTTGGGCTGTGTGCTCAGAAAATCAGTGTGGGGTGCGTGTTCACCTTCAATTTGGACTATGTGTTCAGAAAATCAGTGTTTGGGCTACGTGTTCAACTCTCAATCAGTGTGGGCTGCGTGTTCACCTTCAATTTGGGCTGTGTGCTCTGAAAATCAGTATTTGGGCTATGTGCTCAGAAAATCAGTATGGGCTGCATGTTCACCTTCAATTTGGACTGTGTGTTCAGAAAATCAGTGTTTGGGCTGCGTGTTCAACTCTCAATTGGTGTGGGCTGCGTGTTCACCTTCAATTTGGGCTGTGTGCTCTGAAAATTAGTATTTGGGCTGTGTGCTCAGAAAATCAGTGTGGGCTGCGTGTTCGCCTTCAATTTGGACTGTGTGTTCAGAAAATCAGTGTTTGGGCTGCATGTTCAACTCTCAATCAGTGTGGGCCGCCTGTTCGCCTTTAATTTGGACTGTGTGTTCAGAAAATTAGTGTTTGGGCTGCGTGTTCAACTCTCAATTAGTGTGGGCTGCGTGCTCACCTTCAATTTGGACTGTGTGTTCAGAAAATTAGTGTTTGGGCTACGTGTTCAACTCTCAATCAGTGTGGGCTGCGTGTTCACCTTCAATTTGGGCTGTTGTAGACGCGCCCATGTGCGGCCCTCACTACAGTTCGGACTCGATTTGTTGTCACGGTTCTTAATCTGAACCAAAGAGTCCAAATCCGACAAATCGTTTTGAGAAACAGATTTTTTGAAAAGGAGTGCCAAACATGGACTGCTTTGCCAGATACAGAGTCGCCACCTAAATATTTTAAAATTGGAGAATTTAGGAAACCCTGACTCGGTGCCAAAGGCCACGTGTCCGTCATTGCCAAAGTTGCCTCGGCTCGGGAGCTTGGGTACGATTGGGGAAGGTCAGCTAAGGGCACCCCCTCTCGCCTGGTCTGAAGACCGGCCTCTACTAACCGTGATATCTAGTTTTGAAAACGTTATGTGTTCTTATTCCGATTATTAGCCTAGAATTACTATGTGATGCGCACAGCATACAAGTATATACTAGATTGCCTAATTTGGAAATAAGCACTGCACATCCGTTTATTTTGGAAAACGTTTTGGAATTTGCTACCCGCAAGTAGGCTAAAATACGGATTTTCAATGAACTTTTCCAACTCAGGCAGTCCAACCTCCACCCACAGGCATTCAAACAATTTATCACATAAGCATTTAGCCGCATGGCAAGCATACTGTCATGGCAACACTCACACGCATGCGGGATGCTAAAGCATAAATACTTACATCGTACTCCATGCCAAAACAATAAACTAGTTAGCCAACATGCATGGTCCTAGTTCATGTCAAATTGCCTAATGTAACACATACAGGATGCATTTGTCATGGCAACACTCACACGCAATCGGCCATTCACCTATGGCCGGTCGACATTGAATGCTGCCGGTCGGCAGAAACTTCCTGCAGAAGACAATTTTGACAACAACAGAGAACAGACAGTATATGGCATGGGATTTCAGGCACATGTGAGCATGGTCATGTTTCCCATCATGTGTTGAACTCAGGGAAGCATGGCCCTCGATCCTTGAGCCATCAATGGTGCACGATAGCCCAATAGATCAAGCTTGCCATTTGATGTAAGAATACATGCAACACACAAATGAGGACTAAGGCCTTATCATGTCGAAGTCTAAGGCCCCGGTGACCGAGAGTTAAGGCACGTTGCATCACTTACAGTATGAACGCTCTTTAACCCTCACACTTGGTTTGACACCCCAAACCAAGTAATGCAATGCATGTTATGCAAACATGACTCGAAGATACAATGATGAGATGAAAATGCAAGGCATGCCAAATGCCATGCAACTAATATGGCAAGTATGCAATGCTAGGCATGCAAGATGCAAATGCAATGCAAATATGGACAATTTAAGCAATGGGATCATCATGTTACAACACCTAATGAAGCAATCATGCAACAAACATGAAACAAGCATGCAATGGTGGCTTAAAATGGTAAAGGAGCAGACCTTAACTCACTTCAAAACAGTGCCAAAAAGTGCCCACAATGATGGACAAACTCTCATGCCAACATGCAAGCCAATGGGCCTAAGGCTAAGGCACAAAAAGGGGCATTTTACTTCCACCAACATGACCACTCATGGCATGAATTGGACAAGTCAAAACAGGGTTTTAGCATGCAAAAATAGACCCCAAAACCTACTAATATGGCAGCTAAAGTGGCTCCAATGAGATGCATGCACCAAAGCTCAATTCTAGGCATAAAAGGGCACACCCTCAAAGCATGAAAGAGGTCACACATGCAAGCATACAAGCATGATTTATGGACTGAAATATGACCCTAGATGATGCCAAATCATGAAGATGGTCCAACCTACACATGCTAGAGGCCAATATGCTCAAGGCTTACAAGCCAAAACATAAAGAGAGGACACCAAACATGGCAAGCATGGCTAAAACAAATGGCCAACAGACCTTGAACAAGGTAAAATAATGCCAATATCTTCATGAAATTAGGCTAACACATGCAAGAATCATGGCCTAAACACAAGATGCATTTCTAGGCCAAATAGAGGAATGTGAAGCAAGTATGTTAAGCATGCAAATGGGTGCAAATCCAACCAAAAATAGAGATCATATGTGACCTAAAGACACCCAAAAAGCTCTGAAATATGGCTAAAACCAATCAAGCATACATGTTACTCTTTAAGCCAAAAGCATGCATGTTTCCCTTTAAGCCAAAAGGCAAGGAAATAAGGCAATGAAGGGACAGGGGTGTCCCTCCCCT